GAGCAGCCCTGTTGGGTCCTGGGAGCCACACGTGGGGGCCCCGGGTGCTCCGTGTTTCTGCCTCTGCCTCAGTCCCTGGTGGCAGTCCCCTGTGTGTCCTTACTGGGGCTCCTGGCCTCTCCCCGTCCTGATCCCAGCGCCTCCGGGCTGGGCCTCGTCCTGGAAGGGGCCGGGTGGACGCACCTGGACTTGCATCTGCTTTGTGCGGCTCGGCGGTGGGGCCTGGGCAGGGGCTTGGGGACTGGGAGCTGGGGGACTGGGAGCTGGGGGGAGCTGGGAGCTGGGGACCGGGAGCTGGGGGGAGCTGGGAGCTGGGGACTGGGAGCTGGGGGGAGCTGGTGGGGAGCTGGGAGCTGGGGATTGGAAGCTGGAAGCTGGGGGACTGGGAGCTGGCGGGGAGCTGGGAGCTGGGGGCGAGCTGAGGGAGTCTGGGGGACTGGGAGCTGGGGGAGCTGGGGGGGTGGGGAGCTGGGGGAGACTGGGGGACTGGGACCTGGGGGGCGGAGCTAGGAGCTGAGGGGGGAGCTAGAAGGGAGCTGGGAGCTGGGGGAGGCTGGGGGCTGGGAGCTGGGGAGTGGGGAGCTGGGGGCTGGGAGCTGGGGGGCGGGGAGCTGGGGGGCAGGGAGCTGGGGGGCCTGGCCACACGAGCTGCGGAGACCCAGGCCCCAGGTTGGGAAGGCCGCCTGGCCACGGGCGGAGTGAGTGCCCGTCCCCTCCCGTCTGGGTCTGGAACCGGTCTGGCCACGACCCCCCGGAGGACCAGTGTGTCCCCCCCAGGCTGGCAGTGGCCGTGGAGGAGCCACACATGTCCCCCGCTCCCCCCCCGGGGCAGGAAGACCCCGTCTTCTGGGCTAGCAGGGCCCCAGGGACCGGGAGGGCGAGCGGTGGTGGATCCAGGCCCCCAGGAGCCCCGTCCTTCAAGTGTGGGTCCCACCTGGCGATGGCCCCCTGTGTCGTCGGTGCCCCCTAGAGCCCTGCGGCATGACGCATGTCCCCCCCATCCTCCCCCCCCCCCCCCCGTCTGCGGCCCACCCTAGGCCAGGGGAGCCCCTGTGGAAGCAGCAGCCACGGAGGTTGGAAGCCAGTGACCTTGGTTTGACCTGCGCCGCCCCGCCACCCGCAGCTCCGTGACCAGGTGGCCCTGCCCGGCAGAGGCAGTGCTTCGGGAAGTCTCCGGGCCAAGCCACGCTTTTGTGCTTGGGGGGGCTGCGGTCGGGGGACCCAGGTCCAGGGGCCATCGCGGGGGAGTGTGGGGCGAGGGGCCGGTGGGGGGTGAGGCCTTGGCCTGCGCTGCGGGGGGCGCGGGGCCGCCCGGTGTGGGTTGGTACCGCCCATGGGGGCCACGGCGTCCGCCGCCGGGTGGCCCGGGGAGCACCTGCAGGGACCGCGGCGTGGAGGCTGCCGTCAACCCGGCGCTGCTGCTGGGCCGCCGCGGCTCCCAGGAGGGAGGACCCCGTCCGGATGGTGGCTGGGGACCTGCGCCCTGGGTGGGATCCAGCCCTGGCCGAGCCTCCCGGTGGCCGGTGCTGCGCAGTCCCCACGCCCAGGGAGGCTCCGCAGAGCGCGGGGGGAGCGAGCGGCCGGTGCACACCCGTGGGTGGGGGTGCGCACATGCGCCCGTCAGGGACGGGAACGACTTTTCTGCCCAGAGGGCCCCGCACCCCTGCACGGTCCTGGAGCCCAGTGCGTGGCCGCGGGAACCCTGACCGCCCCCCTGGGCACCGCGCCGGCCCTCGGGGGACAGGCGGCCTGAGCGTCCCCGTGTGACACGGACCTGGAGGGACAAGCTTGCTTTCTGCAGCAAGGGAGCTCGGAGGTCCCCGGGTTCGCCCCCCGGTTCATGGTCCTAAAGCCACCGGTTCTCGACCTTACATAAGTCTTTTAAAACCGTGTTTACCGGGGCCCCTGGCTGCCTGTCAGTAGAGCATGTGACTCGATCTCGGGGTTGTGCGTTCGAGCCCCACGTTGGGTACAGAGATTACTTGAAATCTTTTTAAAAAACTAAGTTTGCAGACTGGTCTCCCAGGACCCCCGGCCCCCCCTGCTGCCCTGGGACGGCCCCTCCGTGGGCTGCGTGGTTCCAGCCCGTCTCCAGCCGCCTCTGAGCACGGGGTCTGTAGCCGAGGTGTGTATCCTGTGTCCGTGACGTGTTTCGTTGTACGCGCGGTTTTACCATCCTACCTGTTCCCGCGAAGTCTTAGCATCGCACGCTGGTGGCCGTCCAGCTCACTCCTCTTCATCACCGTCCGGTGTCCGTTGCAGGGCCCATCACCCTCTCCCCAGGATGTTTAAACGCCCTTTATTTTTATTCCTGAAGATTTTATTTTAGACAGAACGTGAGGGAGAGGGTCTTCTGCTGACTCGTGCTGAGTGCGGAGCCCGAAGAGCGGCTCGATCCCGCGACCCCGAGATCACAATCTGAGCTGAAATCAAGAGTCAGACTCTCACCAACTGGGTGCCCCGACATCCCCCTTTAAAAGCAAAACCTTTACCAATTTTGATGCTTCCATTTGATTATAGGAAAAAGCAAAGACACTCATTTTATAGAAAAACTTGAAGTTCAGGCATCTAGAAGGGAAAGTAAAACCTGTGACCCCCTGCCCGTTCTACCTGTAACTTTCCTAAAACCTACGTATTTTCATACATACGTCGCTTGTGTCAACGTCTCTCACGCCGTGTTTTCCCAGGTTCGTTAGAGCTGGAACTGGGCCTGCAGGCTACAGCCCCGTGGCCAGCCCTGGACCGTGGCCTGGGTCTGGACGTCCTGCGAGCTTCAAGTGGCGTTTATAGTCTTAAAGGCTTGAACACAAAGGCAGGCCACAGCAGAGCTTGTGCTAGGCCCGGCGCGTGGCCATGGAGCCCCACACGTCGACCGTCCGGTCCGTTCCAGAACACCTGAGCCCACTCCCCTTCCAGGCCGCCGCGAGCCGAGCCGGGCCGCCACGCTCATGAGCTTCTCAGCGCGTGCAGGATGGTGAGGCCACGTGGGGGCGTTCAGAGGGGGCTCGTGCCTTGTGACCCGACAGGACTTCGTGGAGGTGGCCCCACGGCGACCTGGAAGGATTCAGCCCCGCAGAGCGGCCGGTCTCCTCGGTAGAGGAGGCAGAGACGCGGCTTCGCGGCGTCCTCTGGTGGCAGGTGTTCCGGCGGCTCCCCCAGTTTGCAGCATGAACTGTTACCCCTGGGACCTTTCTATCTGAAGAGCCTGGGGCACAGGGCGCGGGGCCGCGCCATCGCAGATGCCAAGGTTCGAGGACACCCGCCTGCTGGTTGCTGTGCCCCTCGCGGTCCAGGACGGCGCGGCCCGACCCGGGGGCGCGGGTGATGGCCGCGGGAGGACGAAGGTTAGCGAAGGGCAGCCTGCAGCCTTCCTAACGCGCGAGTCTCCAGGCAGCGCTGTGGTCGTGGCCTCGCGGCCTGAGCGGTGCCGCCTCGACGGTCTGGGAACCCCGAGTGTGGCCTGGCATCAGGCCCCGGCTGGGGGTGGCCTGCGCGCCCCGCCGTTACCCCTGGGCCTGAAGGGGCGCCGAGGCCGGAGGGGGCGGGCCAGAGGGGCTCCGCAGCGGGGGGGCCCTGGGGGGCAGCGCAGCCCGCGGGCGGGAGGGACTGCAGAGCTCGGGAGCCGCACACTCAGCCGCAAGGTTTCCAAGTCCAGCAGAGTGGGAGGCCTGTCCTAATTAGTGGGCAGACGCCTCCAAGACTTAAAAATTCCAAAATCAGGGGATCCCAGGGTGGCTCAGTGGCTTAGCACCTGCCTTCGGCCCAGGGTGTCACCCCGTGGTCCTGGGGTCGAGTCCCACGTCGGGCTCCTGCATGGAGCCTGCTTCTCCCTCTGCTTGTGTCTCTGCCTCCCTCTCTGTGTCTCTCATGAATAAATAAAATCTTTAAAAAAAATTCCAAAATCACTTTGCTGAAAGAACTTCTGTAGCTTTAATTTCTCATTAGCTTTTTAGAAAAGGTTCCTAAAACATCAGACAGCCCGAACCTAGCTCCTTCCGCCCCCGTGTCCCACTGCCGTCCACGGGGCGCGGGGATGCCCGTCGGTGAGAATTGCCCAAGCAGAGTCCTCAGCCGGGTGACCTCCTGCGAGGAGCAGATAGAAGGGCAGAAAACGAGAGGGGAGACCGCTGGTGTGACTGAACCTGTGACCGCAGCTGATGTTCGGAGCCTGCTGGGATTATTTACTGAGTTCTTTGCCGCCCTGTTCTCCCAAAGCTAAGATCCGAGCGTGTACCGGAGGGAAAGCAGCAAACTGGAGGGAGTGGAGTCGGCGTGGGGCGGGGGGTGGGGGTGGCTCAGTCCGCGGACGGACGTCAGGCTGCAGCAACCCTGTTCCCTGGGGGATTGGAAGTAAGGCTCTTGCAGATCTCTTCGCAACCAGAAGGGCGGCTCTAGAAGCATCTCCTCTCCCAGCTCTCCTTGCCAGTCCACGGCCTCCCCTTCTCCGCTCTGCGCTCACAGGTACGAAGAGGACGAAGAGGACGGCGCTGAGACAGCCGTCCTGCCTCCTGCCTCCTGAACACGAAGGGAAGCCTTTCGGGAGGGCTCACCCGGGACCTGTGGGGACTGGTGAACGCGGCCCTGGACGCCCCGCCCTCCTGGAGAGTCCTGGAGACTTCCTCTGTGCCTTTGAGATGTGGATTTTCTACCCCCAGCTACCCCAGGACCTCAGTCATGATTTGAGATGCAAACTTTAGGGAGGGAGGATGGGATTTATCTACTTTTGGCTTCCTCGTAGAGAGGAACTAAAAGATTCTTGGGTCTGTTAGGGGTCTGTGCCACGTGAAACAGCTGTACGCATAAGGAAGCCTAGGTCTTGGGCAAATCTGAGAACGTTCTATGGTCTAGAGAATACCGTGACAGCTCACAACTGGTTATTGCCATTCACTGGAAGGGTCTCAGGCTTAAAAGATTCTAATGTGACCGAAGCAGCTAGAACAAGGAAAACATTGCCATGTGCAAGGAAAGTGATTTGGATAAAAGCAGGTCTGAGGCACGGAGATGGACTTTTTTTTTTAGTAAAGATTTTATTTGAGCACGAGCAGTGGGCAGGGGGAGCAGCAGACTCCCCGCTGAGCAGGGCGCCCGACACGGGACTCGATCCCAGAATCCTGACATCAAGACCTGAGCTGGAGGCAGGCGCTTCACCCGCTGAACCACCCAGGCGCCCGATGTACTTTTGTTGAGGACAAAGCTGCAGGTTTGTGGAAAAGGAAACTCTGAAGAGAACTTTTAATGTGGGATCAAGCCAAGATTAAAATTCAGTTTTAATATTAAAAGTAAATGAATGGTACAGATTGGTTTTTGCTCTTAAAATGAAATTTTCTTGGATTTCAGGTTTGTTGTTGACAATAGACTGGGAAAGTTTGACTTTTAAATCATCTGCCAGGAAGCCAAGGTTCTGTACCTTAACCAGGTCTTTGGTTTCTGACACTTTTGCCTAAATCCACCCTGAACTGAGTACTGTTTGACAGAGGTCTGTGACCCTCTTCAGTCAGGCGTCCAAATGTGTTATTTTCAATAAACTTCCAAAAATCAAGTCCTAGATAAGGCCTCCATTGGCCTCAGACGAAGTGTTGAGGCTTCGCAGAGCGCCCCCAGAGCATCGCATAAGCTTGGTTCTCTCCCACAAAGACTGAGGGTAGGCTGATCAGGCTTGTCTGGGGTGTGAATTTGTATGGAAAGCACGTCCCATCACGACGATAGACCTTAGGTTGCATGTGTGGGTGAGTGTTAGTATAAATGTTCTATGACTGTATGAAATTACTAGGAACCTGGTGGTCCTGGATAATCTTACTGGCCAGAATTCCAGTTACCTTAAAATGTTCAGAAATGAGCAGTTCTGTGGATTCCAGTATAAGGAACTCTCCTCGGGTCTCTAACCACAGCGTAAGCTTGTCCATGACAGGGAGCTCATGCTCGACTTGGCTGCTCCGCCACAGTCCTGCAAAGGCACCTCCTGCTCAGGGACAGTCAAGGACAGGACTCTGGCAAGGGTGGGCTGCTGACAGCCTTACGTCGGCAAAGTGAGCTGGGTAGGAACTTCCACAACTAATGAAAACCGGATTCAAGCAGAACAAGTGTCACATGGAACCACGTGAACTTAGGAGGATAACTATGACCTTATGACGTCTGCTTTGAAATATTACCTGTTCTTTTTGTTTTTCCAGATGCGAGGAAACCTTCTCCTGAGGTATTAACAATTTAACATATACCTTTGTGAGCAGAGACGAAACAATTTTTCTCCTCACCTGATCTCTCCAGATTTTGCAAACTTCGTATTCTCATTTTAGTGGCGATCCATGTGCGGAAGTGCAATAGAACCCGGTCCTGCAACAGGACGTGCCTGGGAACGTTGGCTGTGTTACGAGGCTTCGACTGGAGTGTCCTGAGAGTGATGTAAAGACTGAGATGATCAGCTTCCAGGAGCTAAGGCTGATCTTATGAAGCCAATAAAGACCCTTGGGGAAGGGATCCCTGGGTGGCGCAGCGGTTTGGCGCCTGCCTTTGGCCCAGGGCGCGATCCTGGAGACCCGGGATCGAATCCCACGTCGGGCTCCCGGTGCGTGGAGCCTGCTTCTCCCTCTGCCTATGTCTCTGCCTCTCTCTCTCTCTCTCTCTCTCTGTGTGACTATCATAAATAAATAAAAATTAAAAAAAAAAAAAGACCCTTGGGGAAAATCAGCCTGGCCCCTTGCTCACAGGGTTCCCGGCAGCCTGACCCGGTCGGTGACCTAGGAGCCTCAGGGTATTTTGGGGACCTTGAGAAGAGATGAATTTACCCAAAGTGGTGTGTACTGCAGACAAAGTCTGATGGCAGGTCCTTGGTGTGGCTTCTTAGCCTGGAGAGGCTTTTGAGGTTCATCCAAGACTCCTTATGGAAAGTTCCAGCAAAGCAGACTTAGTAGAGCCTAGATGGTGGTACTGTTCTTCTGCATCTATGTAAATAACCAGGCTAAGTTTACTCTAACGAGACTTAACTGGAAAACAGATTTAGTCTCACTGCAGTTGTCTTTGATGGAAGCCGGGTGGCTGCAGAGAGACATCGTGTTTCAGTAGTACGCCTTCGTGGCCAGCAGATTCTGTGCTGTTAACGGGCTGTGAGGTTTCGTTTTCTACCTGTAAACTGGACTAGGTCCCAAATTCTTCTGTTTTCCTGTTATATTTGGCTGTAACTCTCCACAAATTGATGTTTCCAATGCACCCTGCCTTTCTTACTTGGAGCTGCTGAGAACTAAAACCGCCCTCTTCCTGAAGCTGCGCAAACCAGAGCCGGACACCCCATCAGACACTCGAGGAACCACACGAGCTCACGTGGGCACAGTCTTTCTGCCTGCTGCTGCGTGGGCCACTCAGAAAGCTCGCCAGAGACCTTCACACTGCAGGTTAGGGCCATCTGCCCGATTTCCACTGCCTGGCTTCCCTGCATCTGAGGATGCTCTAAGCCCGGGAGCTCAGAAATGGGGACTGCTCCAGTCTGCTCCAGTCATTACGCCCTGTTGTTTTCTTCTGTCCCCAAGAAAAGCTTCTTATCAAACACCTGATTCCTCATACGCAGGCCTAACCCGGGAGCCCTCTTGCATAGCTGCCTCCTGAAATCAGACCCAACTGCTTAACAGAACCAATTCTCAGGACTAAGAGACGGGGTCCGTGGGCTGGAGCAATCTACAGCTCAATTTCTGGGCTGCAAAACTCTCAGGAATTTCAAAGGTGGGCCTGAGGGAGGGAGAGAGTATGTGAGCCCCAAATATGCTACTTTGGCAAGTGGATTTAGTTTGAGCTGAAGACCATCAAGATGCAGCATGTTTAAGACATGTTTGCCTCTCCCTTAACTCCCTAGAAGGGTTTGGGTAGGAGGCCGTGCTGGGGTGGGGGTTGGGGGGCCAGGGCGGCTGTTCTTATCGGCTATCAACTTTTATCTGCGTGACTTAGCTGTTCAGCAGGGTAAGCATCTAATGACCAAGATCTGTTGTTCCAGCTCCGTGATCCTCCTCCTCTCCCGTGGAAGCCCCAGGCCCCTAGCTCATTCTTTAGGCACAGAAGCCTCTATTGCCTGGCTTGTCCTTGGGTCTCCTATTCTTATGGGTCCCTTGTATGTACATAATTAAGCTTTTGTCCTGTTAATCTGCATAATGTCAATTTTCTTATAAGACCAAGCAAAGAACCTAGCAGGGGAAAGGAGAAAACTCTCCTCCCCAATACTGTGTAAATACTAAAGCAAATGTGCTGATGTTCAGGATGAAAGAACACATAAATATTACATGTGCTTGGTTCAGAAATACCTCCTGACCCACCTGCCTCCCTGGTTGTTTTATGCATTAGGAGCTCCTCTCATCTCCCTGTGATGTACAAAGCACAGAAGAAATACGGTGGCTTCTTTTCCACCATCCCCAGGCCTGTCCATGGTGTGTGGCATCAGCTGAAAAAGAATCAGATGAATAAAAGTGATGTGTTTAGTTCTGGGATGTGAGAGGAGGGAATGAGAGGGAAGGCACATGGCAGTCTGTTTGGTGTTTCTCTGCTTAATGCCCAAATGAACTGGAAGATTTACAGGGTGAGAAGGGAGCTTATGTTTTTCAGCTTGTCTCTGAGGATATTCAGAATTAATACGTGAAGCAGCCCAGCTTTCAAGAATAAACAAAAGGGACCCAGTGCATCCTCTGGGCCATTGCTGCCTATGCCCACCGTGTGCAGAGCACGTTCACCCCCTGGACTCCTGAACCGCGGCAGAGCTGTGGGCACGGAGCTCGGTGGAGTCTGACGGTGCCAGAACGGTCTGGGCCTCCACCCTGGCTCCAGACAAAGAAGACCTGTTTCCAGGCACCTGTGAAAGATTTTATTGAGTCCGTCAGTCCTGCTAATATCTTAGGTCCAGTGTACACGGTTTACAGAGGCCCTGGTGGCTCCAAAGGCGAGTGCCCTACGCCAGCTTGAGGCACTGTGTGTTGAAGCTGTCCCCTTCTTTGCTGGCGACCGCCTGGAGCAGGGACTGCTTCTTCTGCATGCTGCGGGAGGACTCCAGCTCGTACATGGTGGTCAGGTTGAAGAGCACGCTCTCGTGCAGGTAATGCTGGGGGTCCTGCTGGACCATGGCCTCCAGCTGCCGGAGGGAGTCCTTGAGTTTGCCCAGGTAGAGGAGGCACACGGCGGCGTTGTTGTTGGCCTGGGGAAGGGGAACACACGCACGGGGTCGGATACGGCTGCCAGCCTCTGCTCACGGGTCACGTCCGGGGCCCACATGTCCCCCTGGTTGCGTGCATGAGGGGCAGTGGGCGCGGCTGTGGCTGGCTCTGTCGGAAACCCTCCCACGCCTGCCAGGACTGATGAGGATGGACACAGGACAGGCTCACGGTGTGTGCTCCTGGCTCTTTTGGGGCCTTACCACCGCATTTGTTGGGTCAATCTTGAGGATTTCTGTGAAGAATCTGTGGGCTTCTGCAAAGTTATTCTGACCAAGGTGAAGGAAAGCTCTGGAACATAACAGACAGGTAAACAGTTAACCAGAGGGGCAGGGCAGCTCCCCAGGTGGCACGGACAGGAGCATGCCCCATCTGCCCCCTGCATAATCCTGAGCAGCCTGGTGCTAGGGAGGGTCCAGCTGCAGCTGAACGAACCACACCCGTGTCCTGGCTGCCAAGTTAAACCCTCATTAGGTCAGAGGTCACAATGTCACCTCAATGACTCCTGCTCTCCAAGGACACCTGCATGATGGCGTGAGCTCTGCCCTGGGCACGGGCTCCATCGTCAACCTCTGCCCCCAGCCAGCCCCACAGTGTGCTTGACTCATGAGGACACAGAAACAGAGGCACTAAGGCAGCAGGGGCACGAGGGGGCCTAGACTTACAACAAATATTTACACACATTTATGTGCAGACGGGCGATATCAACAGCAAGGGGAAAAATCTTAGGCATCTTCTGGTCTTAATGGATTTTAAGTTCTAGGAGACAGCAGCACATGTCCTGGTGGTGATGGAGAGGACTTCCGGGTCAGGTCTGGGTGCAGGGCTGGGAGGCCGTTCCTAGAGGGCTTTACTAAGGAGAGTCTGAGCCCTCAGGAAATCTGAGAAAATACTGTCGCATGAGGCTTACCTGTTCATTAAAACCATTATCCTGCCTTGTAGTCCATCCAATTTCTGTGTTACTTTCTCCACGTCTTGAAAATACTTCTCAGCTGTTTTTATGTCTCCAATCTGCCTGGACAGAGATACTTAATCAGTTCAGGTAACACAACTAGTAAACGTACATCCACACCTAGAGTTGCTGGTGGGCTGGGCGAGGAGGACATGCTTGCACAGGTGGGGGAAACTCTGGGAACTTCCCCAATCCTTACGTTTGGTGAAAGCGAATGCCACTTAGGATACAGTGGAACATCCATGCCTGTAGGTCAGGAAGGAAAATGCACTTGCCTTATTAAGTCTTAGGTTTTAATTTGTACCTTTTGGGAGGAATCCTAGTAGTAAGTAAAATAATAAATGACAACTTCCAGACAGGCGGCAGAGTAGGAGGGTCCTAAGTCCACCTGGGCCCATGGATTCGGCCAGAGAACACATCAGTGCAAACACTCCAGAAAATGACCCACAGGCAGAGCAAACTCTACAACTAAAGGCAGAGAAGACACCATGTAGGAGAGGGTAAGAGGGACAGAGACGAGGTAGGGAGTTACGCCCTGGCAGCTTGGCTGGGGAGAGGGGCCTTGGGCGCAGGGAGGGGTCCGAAACAGACCGTCACACCAGGGATCCCAGATGGGGAACAGGAATCCTCAGAGCATCTGGCTTTGAAAATCAGAGGGGCTGATTTTTGGAAGTTCTTACAACCAGCCAGACGTCAACCCTGGAATGTCAAAAACCAGCTGGCTTGGCTCTGGGAGAGCCCAGAGATGACAGGAAGCTGGGACCCTGCCCTCAAAAAGACAGCACAGCAAACAGCCCACGGAGATCTATATTAGAAGCAGCGGTTTGAGAAATGCCTGCGGTGTACAGGAGGGAGAGTTAACGATCTCAGAGTTCCCGAGGGGCATGTGTGGGAAGCACTGAGGCACCTGCATTCATGTGTAGCTTGCTTGCCCTGTGCCCTGACCCCTCTAGCTGGGCCTGCTTCAGATGCTGTGGGTCCCCTTACCCAGAGGACCTGTGCCAACCCTGCCAACAATGTGTCCCCTGACTTCCCTAGGAGGATGCACACAACTTGTTAAAACTGACCCCGCCCCCTCCTGCGTGCTTGTACACACTTCCCAGGGTCCCCAGCTGACCCTGGTCTCTGTAGTGACTGCCATCCCCTGTGGAAGAGGACTGGTGTACACAGCTTGTGGCATGGTGCCCCTGCCCGTGGGTGCTTTGCAGAGTGGTCCTGGCCAGCCTGGGCTCTGCAGCAGCTGTGCATCCTCTGTGGAAGAGAACCAGGGCCACTTCATTGAAAGCATGCAACCTGCCCACTACTTTCAACAGCAAGAGATGTAGCTGACTTTCCTAATAGAGACAGTGCGGCAAAATAAAGAGATGGAGGAGTATATCTCAGATGAAAGAACAGGACAAAACTGCAGCAAGAGACCTGAGCCAAATGGAGATTAGTATGCCCTATAGAGAATTTAATGATCATAAAGATACTTACTGGGCTTGAGAGAAGAATGGAGGACATCAATGAAAGCCTTAACACCGAGATAAAAAGAACCAATGAGAGATGAAGAACACAATAAATGAAATAAAAAATACACTAAATGGAATAAATAGCAGGTTAGAGGAAGCTGAGGAGCAAGCAAGTTAATGACCTGGAGGACAGAGTTATGGAAAGTAATCCAGCTAAGCAAGTGAGAGAAAAAAAGATTATGCAAAATGAGAGAACAGACTTCAGGACCTCAATGACTCTGTCAAGTGTAATACCAGCTGCATTACAGAGATCCAAGAAGAAGAGGGTGCAAAAAAGTGGCAGAACATTTACTTGAAGAAATAACTGCTGAAAACTTCCCTAATCTGGAGAGGGAAATAGACTCCCACATTCAGGAGGCACTGAGAATTCTCATCAACCACCCACAGAGGTCCACATCAGATACACAGTAATTAAAATGTCAGAAAGCAGAGACAGAACAAGCAGCAAGACAAAAGAAGACAGTTACACACAAGGGAAACCCCAAAGGCTATCGGGGATTTTTCAGTAGAAACTTTCCAAGCCAGAAGGGAGAGTGGGATGATACATTCAAAGTGCTGAAAGGGAAAAACCTGCAGCTGAGAACACTCTATCCAGCAAGTCTATCATTCAACATGGAAGAGTGCTCACTTCAGCAGCAGGTATACTAAAACTGGAACGACACAGAGAAGATGAGCAGGGCCCCTACACCGAATAGGATGGGAAATGGAGACTTTCCTAGACAGACAAAAACTAAAGGAATTCATGGCTATTAAACAAGCCCTGCAATGAATATTAAAGGTTGACTCTTGGAGTGGAAAGAAACCATAAGTGAGGGTAATAAAAGTAAAAACACAAAAGCAGTAAAAAGAAGTATATCTGTAAAAGTCAGTCAAGGGATTCACAAAATAAAAGGATGTAAAATGTGACACACCATATACCTAAAACCTATGTGTGGTGGGGGAGAGGAGTAAAGAATGGGCCCAAACTGTAGCAACCATCAATTTGACATAGGCTGCCATACACAGAAGATGCTGGCTACAGATGTAATGGTGAGCACAACTCAGAAACCAGTAATAGATGTGCAAAGAATAAGGAGAAGAGATTCCAAATATATCGTTAAAGAAAGTCAACAAACCATGAAAGAGAGCAAGAGAAGGATCAGAGAAAAATTACACAACCACAAAATGAGTATAACAAAATGGTAGTAAGTACAAATCTATCAATAATTACTTTGAATGTAAATGGACTTAATGCTCCAACCAAAAGACACTGGGTGACAGAGTACAGTAAAAAACAAAACAAAAAACAATGAAAACAGACCTATCCCATATGCTGCCTGCAAGATTCATTTCAGACCTAAAGACACCTGAAGATTGAAAGTGAGGGGGTGGGAAAGCATTTATCATGCAAATGGATATCAAAAGAAAGCCAGGATAGCAATGCTCTTATAAGACAAAATAGACTTTAAGAGAGAGAGACAAAGGGAAGATTCTATATATAATAATAAAGGGAACAATCTAAGAAAAAGATATAACAATTGTGAATATTTATGCACCCAGTATGGGAGCAACCAAATATATAAAACAGTTAATAACAAACATGAAGAAACTCACTGATAATAAGTAATAATTGTAGGGACTCTGACAGCACACTTACATCAATGGACAAATCATTCCAACAGAGAATAAGAGAAGAGTGCCTTTGAAGGACACACTGGACCAGATGGATCTAACAGATATATTCAGAACATTCCATCAAAAGCAGTAGAAAGCACATTCTTTTCAAGTACACATGGAACAGTCTCCAGAACAGATCATGTATAAGGCCACAAAACAGATCTCAACAAATTCAAGAAGATCAAAGTCATACTGTCCATCTTTTCTGACCTCAATGCTATAAAACTAGAAACCACAAGAAAAATCTGTAAAGACCACAAACACATGAGGTTAAATAACATGCTACTAAACAATAAATGGGTCAAACAAGAAATCAAATAAATCAGGAATTACATGAAAACAAATGAAAATGAAGTTACAAAGGGTCCCTGTTCAGTGGGGAGTCTGCTTCTCCCTCTCCCTCTGCTCTGCCCCCCCACCCCGCACATGGTCTCTCTCTCTCTAATAAAATAAAAAATCTTAAAAACAAAACAAAACCCAAAATCACAAATGAGAAAGAACCAACAGCACAGAAATACAATTATAATAAGAGATTATGAAAAATTATATGCCAACAAATTGGACAACTGAGACCAAATGGTAAATTCCTAGAAGCACAAACTAACACTGAAGCAGAAAGAAATAGAAAATTTGAACAAAACAATTTCCAGCAATGAAATTTACTCAGTAACCAAAAATCTCCCAACAAACACAAGTCCAGGACCAGATGGCTTCACAGGGAATTCTACAAAACACATAAAGAAGAGTTAATACTTAATTCTTCTCAAACTCTTCCAAAAACTAGAAAAGGAAGAAAAACTTCCAAATTCATTCTACAAGGCCAGCATTATCCTGATACCAAACCAGATAAAGATACCACCAACAAGGAGAACTACAGGCCAACATCCCTGATGAACAGAGATGTAAAAATCCTCAATAAACTATTAGCAAACCCAATCCAACAACACATTAAAAAAAAAAAAAAAGAGGGCAGCCCTGGTGGCTCAGCGGTTTAGCGCCGACTTCAGCCCAGGGTAGGATCCTGGAGGCCCGGGATCGAGTCCCATGTCGGGCTCCCTGCATGGAGTGGAGCCTGCTTCTCCCTCTGCCTGTGTCTCTGCCTTTCTCTCTCTATGTCTCTCATGCATAAATAAATAAAATCTTAAAAAAAAAAAAAAAGAAAATTACCACAATCAAAAGGGATTTATCCCTGAGATGCAAGGGTGGTTCACTATTTGCAAATCAATCAACATGATACATCCCATCAATAAGAGAAAGGATAAAAACTGTATGATCACTTCAATAAATGCAAAAAAGCACTGACAAAGTACAACATCCATTCATGATAAAAGCCCTCAACAAGTGGGTTTAGAGGCAACATAAGATAATAGAAGGCATGTATGAAAAACCCACGGCTAATATCCTCAATGGGGAAAAGCTGAGAGATTTCCTCCTCGGGTCAGGAACAAAACAGGAATGTTCACTCTCACGACTTCTATTCAACATAGTACTGGAAGTCCTAGCCTCGGCAATCAGATAAGAAAAAGAAATAAAAGGCATCCAAATTGGTAAGGAAGAAATAAAGCTCCCACTATTTGCAGATGACATGACACTATATATAGAAAACCCTAAAGACTCCACCAAAAAGCTACCATTACTGACAAATTCAGTAAAGTTGCAGGATACAAGATCAATGTGTAGAAATCTACTGCAATCCTATACACTAATAATGAAGCAGCAGAAAGAGAAATCAAGAAATCAATCCCACTTACAGCTGCACCCAAAATAATAAAATACCTAGGAATAAACCTAACCAAAGAGGTAAAAGATCTGTACTCTGAGGATGACACAAAGAAATGGAAGAAAGACATTCCATGCTCAGTGATTGGAAGAACATATATTGTTAAAATGTC